TTTATTTGTTATTGCATGTCATACAATAGAAAATATGTACACACAATCTATTTACATTTAAAAAAACTTATTTTTAAGAAGAATAACAGCTCTTGTTACCTTTGCCAAAAGGTGGCGAAAGATCACGGCAACATTGAATTCAATAATACAACTGTATCGCCCAACCGAANCAACTGTTTTGCTTAATGTTGGATAATCCAACCACAATAGCAACAAAAGACGGTAGTAACCTGTAAATGACCCGTGACGAACAATGACATAAGTCAAAAATCAATTTTATTACTTTCAATCGTGCTTCTCTTCACGTAATCATTACCGATCGAGTTGAAAACAACTTTTTCATCCAAAAGTACTTTTTTACTGTTTTTAATGTCTAAACTGTGCAAGATTTTTAACAAGATCCTAAATTTGACACGCTGAAGACAGCTAAAATTAAAATTTTCAATTTAAATTTTTCAACTAAACGCCTTTAGCTTAACGAGGGTATCAAATTAAAATTATGACGTTTTAATTAATTCCACGTCAAAAATCGACTTCTAAGTTGCATTAACTTGAGGAATCCACTTAGCATCGGGCGGGGGCGACTGTCTGTTGTTGTAAAATAAAAGCAAGAGTTATGAAAAAGGCGCGTATACTTAATTCAAGTGCATTAATATCAATAACTTTATCAAAATTAAAATAAATTATAACCCTGCAACGAAGACTAACCATTTAATAAAAAACATAGGTATAAAAATTTTGTTATGAGCATTGAGCATACACAAAACGTTTTCAAATCTCTTAACATCAATATAACTAACAGTTTTATTTTGAAAATCCAATATTAAGTCTCATAACAACCAGCTACCATAAAATCTCCAGAACACGTAACAAAGAAGGCTGCTATTAAAAATCACTTAGCGAACAGCTGTCAGCTAATATAGACGAATTAGTTTTGGGTGATCTGATTGTGGCACAAAAAGTAAAAAACGATTCTCAAAAAAATAATAATGACTTAAGAACTTTTGTCATGTAGCCGCAAGCAAATGGTTTGAAAAATAAAAACATTACATCACTCAATAAAAACGCAACAGAAGTTTTAGGTTTGTATTTTTCCGGTGTGTAAATTATCAATAAAAACTANATCAATAAGTAGAAATAAAAAAATATTGAAAAAAAGCGTGATAAATTATTCGGAAGTTAATAAACTAATTACCGAGACATATTTTTTCGTCAAATATCAAGTCTTTAGTGAAAAAATAAACAAATAAGTTACGCCTTTCTACGGTCAGTCGTGCGTAGTGCCCGTAACACTTGTCAACCGAGTTGCGATGGAAATGTAAACGCGGGCGATGCGCGAAACGGCTAGAAAGTAACAACCACGGCCAGATGAAATCTTTTTATAATTTAACAGTCGTTTACAACGCTAATGGGCGATTTCTACTTCATGACACATAAACTCATAATTAATGAGCTGGACACAATAAAAGTGTTTTTAATTGCATGCAACTTTCTTCGAGTAGTGTTCATAATGTTAAAGCTGAATGCGTAGCAGAAAGTAAACTAAACTACTAACTAGAATGACAAACGCAAATAGTTAATTTGCGGTTTAGTTACTAAACTGTATCGCAAGAGGTCTCAAGTTTATTTTAATTCGCTATCGCAGATAACTCAATTTATTTAGAAGCAAATTATTTATTAATCAGTTGTATTGCGTTCCTAAATCAGTGATATCACTTACCAAAATAAAATTCCACTTTATTTGTTTTTATTCCCACAAAAACAAATCAAACAATACGTTTGATATTTATTATGCATTTAACACCTCACTTTATTGCATCTTATCGAATTTTAACAGCTTTACGATGGAGATCCATCAGATAAACCCGAAATGGTCAAAGAACTACAAACTTTGTTAAGTCTTAGCAACAAAGAGGTCTAAAATCCTAAGTATAAATACTTAAAAGGTCACATTGTCACGTGGACGTTTTTTGCAAAAATTAAACCCTAATCGGGTTTCGCAGAACCCTCATATTTATTGCCTCAATAAAGACTATTATCGATTTCCCGACTCGACACAAGATCGATGCTACGAATAAGGATCGATTATTTATCGCCAAATCTGGATAAGGCGAATATTTGGAGGCCAAACTCAAGCACGATGATCCTTATTGCAATTGCATAAGGGTGATTACTATAGGTTTTTTAGTAAAAATAAAAACTTGATGGCTGTGAAAAGTTGAGAGTGCAAAGGTTATAATTAATATTAATCAACTGACATTTAACCGTTACGATAAAATGGCGGATCTTGATCGCTCTGTCTGATATGGCAAAAGCGGAAACGTAGCCCTGCCGAAATATAAATATTTGGTATATCTGGAAGTTATTTCATAGCTTCCTTCAATACCTTTTATGGGATCACATGTGACACATTTTTAAGTTGTAGTACCTTTGATATTCAAGAATTCAATGAACTTGACCTAAAAGTGTTTTATGTTTATCCGCAACATGAAATATGCATTAATTTTATATCGTAAAATTTTACTGTTAAAGATTATCAGACGAATGTAAAGTCGGCTTTTACATAATATTATTTTGTCCAGTTATGTGCTGTAATGTTTTTGGAGTGTATCTAAGCAAAGTTAAAATTTAGAATAAACATAACGATATTAAGGCTGTTGACATTAAAGAAAGTAGAGACGAAAGTAAGTAATTATATAAAGTAAGAGATACTGCACTTAAAACAACATTCCGTTATGCTCAATAACTCCATCTAAAGGCTGTTAGTGTTAACTAACTTGCTAAGTTAATGATGAAAAAATGAGGAAAGTGTCCGAGAACTCGTTAGAACAAGAAATAGACTTGTATTGAGTTATTATGTGATATAAATGTTTGTAAAATTATTAAACTTTGATTAATTATTAATATAATTTTCCCACCTCCTTCTCTACTTTTGAAAAATTGGGAATTTGTACCAAACCCAAAAAATGATCAATCATAAAACCCGAAATACACATACATACTGCTTTTTAGCCACATGCTACTAAAATTCCCCATCGAATACAGCATGAAAAATTATATTATGCAAACAGCCGAAAAAGATTCGGATACGAAAAAGATTGCGATAACGCCCGGCAGGGGGCGGCCACGGCGCGGCGCCAAAAACTGTCAAAAAAGGTGCGCGCGCGCCGCCTCGCGATTTAGCTCGCTCGCGTAGTATTAATCATGGGAATCGAAAATCGCGTTATCAATACCCTGTCTGGTAACTCTGGTAAGGCCATGGTATTTCGTTTCTTGCGATAAAGAAACAAAAAAAGGTTATCGGGAATTCGAAGGACCAATCAATCTGACAGATCGGACGTACGCGATATCGTGTATGTTACAAATAAAAATTTACTTTAGAGAATGTTAAACCACCTTTTGTAGCAGTTTAAGCCTAGCAGAAATTTTATTCCGTGCACTTCTTCAATGATCACCTACATGGTCTGAGAAGTTAAGAGAGCAAAATTTTCAGCTGGGAGGTTCTGAATTTGATTTCCAGGTAAGTAGGGTCACACCGCAATCCATAGGAGGCTTGAATCAACAATACAAGTCAAACGAACCGTTGAGCTTATTCGCCACAAAATAAACATGTGGACAGAAGTATTACCACAGGTAAATAACAAAGTCATGTAACGGCACAGTAATTACAAAGTTTTCATCACCACAGTAATGCGCATAACAGGAATGGAAATTGCTTTCGGGAAAGTAATTGGAGGGCGTCTGCGCGCGCGCACAATTGAACTGTGACAACTGTAGGGCACGGATTAACATAAAATGCGGGGCGGAGCGTGCGACATGGAATCGCTAATGTGGATAATAAGAGCGTTTCCATGGTCCCGTTCGGCGAAAGCTAAATTGTGTACGAAAATAGCAATTATCTTAATTTGATCTGAGAACAAACCTTTATAAATTTCAAGAATATCTCAGTATTTTTTACCCGACTACGGCAAAGCAAAAGGAGGGTTATGATTTTGACAGGCTATGTATGTATGTATGTATGTATGTATGTTCATGTGTACCCTCGTAACTTCTAAACCACTTATCAGAATTCGACAAGTGACATATCATTAGAAGCGTCTTAATTGTCCGTTGGTTATAGGCTATATGGGGTTTCACAAAATCTAATGTGGCGCCCTCTAACGGACAAAACATACAGAGTAAAAAAATAAAGTTAAGATAAATATGCCGTGTTTGGTATCATTTGAAAGCGCTTTACTTGTACATTATGAATATATATATATTACTAGCATTTGCTCGTGAGTTTGCCTGTATTCATGGGCTAATTGCATATAATTCACATATTTTCGTTCATAGCTTCTTTGCTACTTATTAGTTCATCAATTTAACTTTTGTCAATAATATGCGCCACAGATACACTTTATCACCAAAATAGTACAAATAATAAAAAGTAAAAAAAACTAAAACCCAACTACGACAAAAAACGACGCTGAAAAAGTATAAAACAAGATTTTCAGAATACAAAACTTAACAAAGTTGCTAATGTAGTTGCATAGTAATTTTCATGTTTGGAAAGGCGTAGTCACACGTTACATATACCTACCTACCGTAGCACTTTAGCAACGTGTGACTGCGGTTTTCCAAACATGAAAATTACTATGCAACTACATTAGCAACTTTGTTAAGTTTTGTATTCTGAAAATCTTGTTTTATACTTTTTCAGCGTCGTTTTTTGTCGTAGTTGGGTTTTAGTTTTTTTTACTTTTTATTACTAATAACCTTGATTCTACACCTTGAATCTTCTCAAACCATGACGAATAATTCAAAAGAAAAAAAAAACTCTTGACATTGTTAAAGGATTTTGATCCAAAAAGGCAACAATTCTATATTTATGGTATCGTGGTGTGATGAACACCCTTACATGACCAGTTCCATGTTCCTTCAAGGGCCCTCCATTAGAGGTTTTAAAATTTGGAAACAATATCAAAGCCGAATCGCATAAGTATTGCAAATATTCTTACCTTTGTTCTGTAGAGCGGATTGCTGAAATCCCAGCCCGGCGCCACGAAAAGATACCCACATTTGGATATCTTTCGACTGGCCTGCAACAAAAAAAGCCTTATCAGGACAATGCTATAATAATGTCTGGATGCATCTTTTAATCTTTATGAATTTGCAAATGAAAAGGACGTTGAGTAATACTTTGACAAAGCAGGAGATAAGTTTTAAGTTTAAAATGATGTTGAAGTTATCGCAGAGTTACATTGTATTTTTTGGTTCTTTTTGTGTTCGGGAATATCCCCAGGAAGGTTTGAAATTCAAATTTGGAACGGTTCAAAATTTTAAAAATAGAAGATCTTATGGTTATTCTTGTAAGATGGTGTAGTAACACACTGTCTTCGAGCTCATCAACACGGCTCTGGTCTTCCGCGAAATACGTTAATGGCATCCAGTTTTCGCAGTTTAAAAATCCAAATTGTATTGTCGCAAAAAAGTGATGATGAAAGATGATGTGACGAGCTGACAACGAATGCCCAATCATATTTAAAACGACTTTTTGGTCAAGTGATTCAGGGGGACATTCTCGGTCCGGGATGTTCAATATTAAATATCAAGGCCGTACACACGAAAGCAGAAGACTTAATAAAGACATACCAAACAAGTACTAATAATATCTGTTTATTATTCAAACATTTATTATTGTTGCGCACGCGCAAGTGCAAAATGACAGCGTCAGTCAGACGGATTCATCGAATCGGAATTATCTTTGAATGCACGTATTGCATTTTCGAGTCCATTGACATTGGAACAATGGCCGCGTATGTAATATATGATCTGTATGTATTTAGTAACCGTAAAATTCCTTTGTAAGACGATCGGATACCATTGAACACAGCGATTCTGCATAATTACTGTCGATTACGATGCAATTTTGATTTAATTACTTATTAATGGTAGAGGTTTGTATTAAGTTATAATCGATTCAGAATCGATTTGAAACAGGGCGTATAATTGTTATGTCAAGCCAGGTGTTACATGTGAGTATCATACCTGTAATCACTAAACCACCAAGTATTTTCAACTGACTTAAATGAACCTAATAATAAGAAAAGAAATATGTCTATGCATCATAACATAAGGCACATTGATGAAGCTACGTCAGACACCTATTTTGGATCGCAGTCTGCTACCAGAGTAGTGACATCAGTCGTTGCAATCCATACGACGGAAGACGGATAGGTATAAGTATCTGGCAATAGGATCAGGGTAAGTTTAATAGTGCCAATCCAGGTGGTATCCGAGGTAGATAGAGGTCATTGATTGTATACATAGCGGAACACACTTCTTCTAGAGGCGACCCTATGTCACGAACGAGATCCTGATAAATAAAATCACTTTCGATAAAGCCATAATGTCAAGGATATAAGAATAACTGTACTAAATGAGTCAACTCGAAGGGTTCTCACGGCCATCGCGTATGTACCCTAAAAAGTACATTTCCGCGTATAATTCGGATAACGACTGCTGTGGGACTGATATTCAAATCTGCGTCTTATTCCCACTGAACAAGAGCAAGTAGGTTATTTGCTCAGTGAGGTAATGGGCCTCTTATTTTTGCATCATCTGATGTCATGTGCTGATGCATATTGTCTTCGAGATATTGACCCGTGTTGGGTTTGTTTCGGGAAGTCGTTTGTTGTTATTGCGATGTCAATGAACTTTGCAACAACATTTTTAACTACATGAAAAGGATTAGGTACAATGCAGCTGATAGTACTGACGGCACTCTGATTACCTAGTTTTCGACTCTTTTGATTTGTAAGTTGGTGGTACTGTTACGGAGGTGGTAGGATAAAGAAATTGAAAAGTCACTGCATATTGCAGGCTTAAGTCGACTAGATAAAAAAAATACGCTGCTTCCATCGTCAAAGGCGACTCAAGGAGTCTGGCACCAGGATACTGGCCTCATTTGTTACAACCCACACCATAAAAGATCAGTGTCACCAGTAAATTGAAATATGATATCTTATTAAAGCCGAAATTTCTTTATAGAGCCAGCATATTAGTAGTTTCAAATTCAAAACCAAACTTCCAGACCCAATCTAAATGTACCGTCATTATTTCACAATCACAGTCATGCTCACTTAAGAATCCTGAGAGATTAAGCACACGAAGCAAGAGTCAGTGACATAACAGCTGACAGGTCAACGGCCGAAATGACACACCGGGCCGCGTCGGATTGCGCTGACCTCAAATAAATGTCATGGGCAATTAGAGATTTGCGATGGAAACTAATTAGGCGGACAATGGATGTGGTTCCTTTGAATACATGAAGACTCTATAGAGTCTAGATATTGCTATAGAGACGGTTGCTATTGCTAAAGACTGAATGGATAACGTAGACGATGGATAGAATATGAAAGCCTCAGAATGGACGTGATGAAGTATTATTTGTATAACTAGAAAATAGTAGGTACTATGATCGAACAATGTTAATAACAATGGTCATTAAAAAAACAAATTATCACCGCAAACATATAAGTTGATAACAGTTAAGTGACTCCATTAGTTTACTAATAATGAACAAATGAAGAATTTTGAAAGAGTTGTTACCGTTCAAACAAACGTTTAAGGCAATATCTTAATTTTCTGAATCTTCTGTTTCCATAATTGAGTGATTAAATATAATTCAACAAATAATGAAAGGTCTACGCCATTCACAAGTAACATCACCGACGTTAATAACTAGTTAGGCTCATCCTCGACAGATTTGCTAACAAGTGAATTTGGTTCAACGTCGAAGGCTGCTATAAACCCAGCATCATCTGCCACGCCAACTAAAACAACTTTAACTGTATCTAATAGCATCAATTTACCTAATTGTGAACTAGTTTTGAATCCCTCCATAAACGTATGCGGTTTGTGAGAAGCCACGGAAATGTTAGTTTAAGAGAAGGCAAATATTTGAGGATTTACAACATGTTAAGCTGTTTGTACAGCCAGATAAACGTTTTATGATTGTTTTTGAAAACTTCATTCATAAAATTACTACACCAATTAATATTAATAAGTATAACATATTGACAAATGACATCATATACATACAAGATTTTTATTTGCAGATTTAACGGAATGTCATGGTTCTAGTAACATCACAGTTGTTGTACCTTTTAATCAAATATCATGAAATCATTTGAACCAAAATAGAACATCAATTATTTCTAAATTGCGTCACGTACTTCATCATGAGGGCGCAGAGGATAAGAGGACGTTGATGTGATTACGACCGAATCAAATATTTTTGGCATGCCCAATCGTTAATTTGCTGAAGAAATGTACAGTCATAGTTGCAGCTTAAAGTACAGTTGAAAGCACCTCAGCTCTACATTTTTGTTGCATTATGACACCTTTTGCGACTACATAAGATGGCTCAATGGTAAGCTTTATTTGCTACTTCTGCACTAACAAAAACGTCACCACGTGGCCCATCGTGAGCGAACGGTACAGCCAGTGGGCCCCGCTACACCATTACGGCGACAAAGCAGCGCGCGACGAATCCGCGCGTGAGTGTTGCGCGTGCGCACCGGGCTTATTTGTGCATGTTAAACAATTAGAGCGACGCGAGATAATGATCTGATAGATACCTTGCCTAATATAGTTCCGATATTTGTTCTGATTGAGCGGCGTTGTCTTGTCACTGAGTGGTATCGAGGAATTTATCACAGCAATAATACTGGTAGTTTATGAGCGTGTCTACGGTTTCTAATTTAACACAATTCGTGAAACGATTTGTTAGCGCTATTCACAAGATATCTTGTGTTAAGAAATAAATCAGAAACTCGAGATGTGATGCACACTTGGAATTTAAAATCTTCTTTATTTGACTTGTCCTAAAATATCTCTCATCAACAAATTTCTAATTTTGGTCCTTCCCATTCGATACGCCTTCGTCTAAAAATACAACTAAAAAGCTCGTAGCTTAAACAACATTACGGAGGTATTTAAGCCGATTTACTTTTTACTGGTTTGGTATCGTTCCGACGACAACCGTGTGTCGTAAAACCACAGATTTGAAACACCGGTTTATTTTAACGGCTGTAAATTATAGCGGGCCTATAAAAAGGACACAGGCGGCGCTTGTTTCTTTGGTTCAACTAAACGGGACCAACACGGTAGCGGGCTATTAAGGAGTTCCGAATTTAGAAGGCACGTGTTGCTTTTGAGGCACTATTTCTGCAACACGATATTTACACCTATATTCGGCTTAAATGCCTTTATTTAAAGCAAAGATTTCTTGAGTTATTTATAAGCACGTACCTGCTGAGATAAATGTTAAAAATAATCGCACAAGAATTGGAAGTCCTGTTATCATCAGCAAAAACGGAACTGAATAATTTTTAATTACTCCGCTAAAAGCCATCAATAATTCGCACTTCAATAAAAAGACAATTCGAGACGAGAATTCAATCTGTTGTCAGAAAGAAAAAAACTGTACAAGCAAGTTGAAATAATCGACACACCCCTTTACTGCGTCTACGCAACTGACATTCCCAATGCCTGATGATTGTTTACAAAAAACCCACTGGAAAATTAAAGTCCTCGCCTCTGGAATGAAACTACTTTTTAACTCATTTTGTTTCGGATTTCTACTTGTTTAAATCACATAAATCTTTTAGGTGACATTTTCAAGAGTATAGTAAAGTGCGCTTATAATACCGAAGTCATAACTTTTCGTAACCGATACAAAGAGCATATTTTAAGGCCTCAGCCTCGAACTTAGCGGGCAGCGGCGCGGGAGCGGCGGCGCCGCGGCGGGGCGGGAGCGGCAGGATCTTATGCGTAAAATCAGGCCTCCGTCACTCGCCTATGCCGGCCGAGATAATTACCTACAGCGCGCGACAACTCCAAGTTGCAAATCAGTCAGGGCCGCCACGCGCCTGTGTAGGTACACATGCGTACCTATACACGCTCGCGCTCGGTTGGTCATCGTCGCAATCAAGGTTTATTGTTCCAACAGCACTTTAATTCGTCTTTATGATGGAAAATCGTAATATTTAAAAATAATAATTAACTGTAATTTAAAAATAGTAATTCAAATAAT